GGATATCATGATAACATGCACGGATGAGATGCATATGCACTAATGCAAAGCAATGCATTTTCTCTCTTTTCTTATTCTTATTCTTTCTCTTATTCTTTGCCGATTGGTCTTGGTTGATGCATGGATTCGAAACCCTTGGCCATGTGAGTGTACTCTCTCTCTCTCTCTCTCTCGTGTATAGCCCTCATCCGCATGTATTCTTACAGCTATACGAATTCTTTTTCTCATTCTCATTCCGCTCTCTCATGGCGGAGTCCGCTTGCTCACGGTGGTTTACATGCGAGTAATTCTACACCCACAGGTTCCCTATCGCACAACCTATTCTTTTTTCTCTTCTTTAGCACTTTTTATTCATTTTATTCTCTAGTGCTAATTCTTTCTTTCTCTTTATTCTAAGAGAATTAGTTCTTTTCTTTATCTTTATTCTTAGGGTGTTTCTTTCTCATTACTCATATTTCTTTCTTTGATGATTACACATATAAACATATGCATATGGATGGCTTATGCCTAGAATCTTTCTTATATGCACTCATGAAATGCAAATATGCTATATTGCATAAAGTAAGGTTCTCTACGTCTACTCATGCTTCTCTTAGGCATTTCATCAAACAATATGTGTGCATACCTAAACTCTACTCTAACTATAATTCTACTTCTTTCTTAACCATCCAAAATTGGAGTTCAACTCTTTTAAATTATCACACATCCTGCAAAGAAAACATACTTCAAATATTCCTCTCAAATTCTTCTAAAACTATCCATACTTCTATCAAATTTTATCAACACAATACACCCTTCTCATGGTGGAAATCTCTCCATAAATCAACATTGAACTCATTCATAAATCCATCAACTCATTTCAAACATAAAAATTCAAGCATTAATCATATACAAACCTCTATAAATCATTCAATCATGCAAATCACAACTTAGGTGGATTTACTTACTTTATAGAATCCACTTAAGCTCTCTACTCTTGATGGCTTGATGCTTTCTCTTACACCTTAAACACAAACTTAGTAGGGATCCTAATCTTACACTAATAAAAAATTCACATCTAGAGTAAGGATTCTTACCTTTAAGTGCTTAGGATCATCTTGTATCAACTTTTAGTCAAAAGCCCTCAAAAAATCCTTGGAAAATTGAATGAAAGCTTGAGAGAATTGAAGGATGGAAGAGGCAGTGGAAAAGAAAGAATGCAAGGGTTTCTAAAGCTAAACCCTTAATATCTCATATTTTCTCCACTCTTTCCCATTTTACCCTTACTTTTTCTTAGGAATTCCAACTTTGTCCTTTACTTCTTTGCAAATGCACCCCCATTTAAACTATTCTTCATGCAATTTTCTTGCATTTTACTCCACACTTTTCCTGATAATTAGGGGTAGAATGGTCATTGTGCCTCAAAGGAAGAATTCTCTAGAAACTTATAAGAATTTTCAGCCGAATCTTCGCCACGACGAAGATGAATTCTTTGCCTCGATGAAAAATTCCAGGGCCTACGTCACCACGACGACGAGTCTTCTTCACCGCGGCAAAGTCTACCTTTCACAAATTTCAACAAGACTTCACCAATTTCAGGGCATTCAAGCAATTTCAACACATACACACTTAACTAAGGGCAAAATGAGCAAATTTGAGTTATGTACCTCATGCGGGCATTACAGTTAAGTTCACAACTTAATCTTATAATCTTCTTTCATAATCCCTGATGTGACAGCTCGCAATTAGATAGATGAAACTCATTTACTAATTAACCAATTACGAGTTGTCACATCGAAAGTTGTAAAATAAAGTTATGGACTTAACATTATTCTTATTTAGTAAGGAAACTAGATATGGGCCCCACAAGTTACGCGAGTATGTTTATTTAATATTTTTAGAATAGGTTGTAAAAATAACTTTTATATATATGAAAGAAGCTGAAAACTAAGAATAAAAATCTCAACAAATCTATTGTTGTTCGAGGATTTATTCTGATGTAGAATAACCAAGCTGGACAAATTAGCAAGCGTATAATTTTTTTTGAGCAAAGTGACAAGCATATATTCAAGCAGATAAGCACTAAAACATAAGAAATTAACAATATAGATGCTTGTAGACTGAACTTAAATAATATACTAGAAATGATGATTGAAAAAATTATGCTGAAATTAAATAAATATTAAATTGGAAGGCATTTATCATTTACCTGACCCAATACCAAGACAACATTGGCACTGAATGCATCAATTGCATGGAGAATTAACTGCAAAAATAACAACATTCCATTGAGCAACATGTTATAATATACTATAGCAAAGCATTTTTAAAATTACCCAATTCTCATGATATGCAACTTCGAGACATTCCTCATATCCAACACCTTCTATCCATCCCATGGTATTGATCACCACCCTGCCACTCGAGATTCCACATTGGCAGTAAATTGTTTCTCCAATACTTGTGCAAGCCATTCACAAGCACTTTGTACAAATCTACTTGTTGCTGCAAAGAATCAAAACATTATCTTAAGTCTACACCTGGAGAAAAGTACTTTCCAACACAAGTTTTTCTATTGCATGAGAAAGCAAAGTCGTAGAGAATGCAATATGGATAACCTTGGAGTTGTGTGCCCAAAGAAGTAAACAAGGGCATTTCAAGTGCAATCCCTCAACTGGATCAATGGCGATTCAATTGGAGTAGCAGCAATACATCCAGGAATTGTTATGGATCCTTGGCCAATATCCAAGTCCACAAAAGTAGGTTTCCAACCTTGTTTAGCTGCCCAACTAAGCAGCATCCTTGACAAGGTGCTCTTTCCAGAATCTGTAGGTCCACAACAATTACCCTAGACCCTGCACCACCCAGAAGTATTATGAACAAATAATAAGTTTCATAACATGTTAAAACCCATGCCAACATAGTATAAGCCTTGAAATTTGAATTATGCAACTGATGACAATGTAAATACCAGAGAAGTATCAGAGCCCTTTGATGCAGATGCTTTGGCACGTTTCTCCGCCCTTCAGCACAGCATGTACATTTACATAACTGACCATGGGAGTCTGAAAATCAAGACCAAACACCACCATTAATTGATTCATAAAAATCTGCCTTTCTAGTAGATCATGCCAATGAACAAACCCAAAAATACAGTAAAAAAGCACACACCTCATCTGCTGTATAATCAGTTTCAGTTATGCCATCCATTTCAACTGTGGCTCCATACCATGTAAAACCTGATCCATTAAACAATAGTTTTCAGAAATGAATTCTCAAATACAAAATGTTTCCATCATGACGTTATTTGGGTTGCGATCCAAAAATAATTTTAAGAAAACTAGAAATAACTCAAAATCATGCTGTGTATTTCTTGTTTTCAAAAAACGAAACCCATTTGGTTTTTAATCCGAAAATAATTTTCAAAACTAAGATCCAATTCAAACATTTAAACCATATATTCATTGTTACAAACTATACAAAACTGAGAAAACAAATCATTTCCGTTTTCTTATTTTACACTACTTTTCAAGTTTATATTCCAAAAATGCTTCTAAAACTCATTTCAAGCAAACGTTTTTCATATAATTTTGTCTCTCTTCTGATCTAAAACGAAAAACTGATTTAAATTCTATACCGAACAGCTTACTCTTTAACATATTCTACCAGATCCATTTTCACTACTTCCATTTATTGAAATGTCACTATAAATATATCAATATAAACAATAATTTAATTAAAAATAAAAGAAGGCAATATCGCCTGCGCTTTAAGTGATGTGTCATCTTCTGTACAACAAAGATATATATATAAGAAAACTTACTGCAAATTTAAGACGTGGGGGAAAGTGAGCCAGATTTCGGGAGGTAATTCAGTTCCGTAAATCTCGGCGCTGCCGTTAAGAACCGAAGACGCAGCGGCGCATCGTTACCGACTTCGATTCTCACTCGCTTTCTTTCTCCAATTTGACTTGCCTCGTAGTTGAAGCCAAATCTAAACCTGAGTCCGACTCCGCGGCGTAAGCCATGTCGACGCTAGGGTAAAGATACACTTGTAACCAACTGAATTTATTATCATAATTTGAAAAAAAAAAGTTAAAATTTTTTCGAATTGAATTGGGTTTAAGGTGTGAAGATTTAAAGCGAAGGTTGAAGAAGAAATAGGGAGAGTGAGTAGTCTAGACCCGGCAAACGGGCGGGTATGGTCCGGGTAGCAACGGGTTGCGGGTCCACAGTCAAATTATGGCGAGTGGACATTTCCACAATCCGCACCCGCCCGTGCGGGTACGGATCATACGTAAAATGTAGCAGCCTTTTAATTTTTCCATATTTTTCATTATTTTTCAATATTTTTGTTATTTTTTACTTTTTTTTTTAATTCAAAATTAATTATTAACTTATTATTTAAATAAATGGATGATTAAATTAAATTTGAGTGATAAGTTTTTTATTTAAATTTTTTTATTTCAAATTTGCGTGTCCGCGGGTATTACCCGGTCTACCGTAAAGTCACGGGCAGGCCGAGTACGGTCAGATTCTCACGGGTCGAGATATGTGTTACCCATACTCATCCATTGGGTACGGGTACCCGTTGCTCGCAGGTACACCCGCCCGTTTGCTAAATCTAAGAGTGACTAAGTGAGTAAGAGTCTGAGAGAGTCTGAGCGAGGGCGAGGCAAATGAAACGCACCACTTTTCATCTTTACAGGGAGAGAATTCTTTTTTACCCAGTAGGTTTAATTTAATTACAGTTAAGGCACTTTGTTTGAAATAATAGCATTTTGGTGCTTTGACTTGACGTCCAGTTAGTTGACTGCTAATGGACTTATAATTATACTGAAATGACAAAAAAAATGCACCTGCAGTACAAATATGTGAAGCAAAGTGAATAAGCAAACACTAAATAAGCTCACTAATTGTTAGCATCAGTAATTACTTGCACAGCAAACAAAATTAAATAAATCCTGACAGTTAAAGAAACACAACTATTTCATAAGACTGAAAAAAAGTTAAAAGATATTATAGTAAGATGAAAACAAAATGGCAGAGTTTTCAACTGAGAACAAAATCGGCTAAGAAATTTGTAACTTCTAAAAGGATTAACTGATTGAATAACAGTGTACATTTTAGGAAGAAGCTTGTGCGTTTTAACTACTATACAGAAGGCGGCGAAACCCTAGTTACATCTTGAACAAGGTTATAAAGCTAAACCAAAACAATTTGCATTTAGTTATGGAAAAGAGAACTGTGTTTTGAGTACTATATGATCAAACCGTGTCTGGTTTTGTCGTGAAGATGCTTCATGTTTCAAGCCATGACAAAGTTCCCATGAGCAGATATTTGCTTGGAAAATTCCCTGCTGATGCTCCAAGATATGTAACTGTCTTCCTGTGGCCATAAAATGTTATATTAATCGAAGAAAGCAAAACCAGCATAACCACAAAACATGCTTTTTTCCAAAATAAGAACTCAGTTTCAAACCTCTGTGAGTCGATTTCTGTGATATAGATAAAACCGGCGACATTGCTGCAGCAAAAAGATGTGATGTAATCAGAAATGAGGGGGAGAGAGAGAGAGAGAGCATAATTTTATTCTTCAGGTGCTTCGATCACCAACACCAATTATTACACTCTCCAAATCAGCAAAGTTTTTTTAATTATAGAAGAATCACGAATAAGATGAAACTAAGTAATTTTTTAAGTGCCAATTCATCGTAAGAACATCTCCAATAGTATTCTTTATTTTAAAGAACATCTTTCATATAAATAAAGAGCATCTTTATTTAATTTCTAAAAATAAAAAACAATTTTTTTATTCAAATCCAATAGACTCTTTAAATATAATGAAAATGCTCTTTATTTTCAGGAAAGAAACTTAATGAGAGAGATAATTAATAAATAAAATGTATAGAAACTTGTAGTTTATTAATTAAAATTAGGATAAAGAGTGAAATTGCCTCTCTAGATGTGGAGAGTCAAACTCACTCTTTAATTTATATTTAAAGGATAAAGAGTCTGTTGAACTCTTATTTTTATAGATAGACTATTTATAATAAAGACTTTGGGTCATATAAAAAGTTCTTTAGAAGTGCTCTAAGACTAGCCGCAGAGTAATTATGTACATTATCTCATAGTCACCATGGAATAAATGATAATAGACACCAAAATGTTTCTTTTTCTTATGTCCTGGTTAGGGGGATTAGTATAATACTAGAGAGGTTTATCATTCCGCTATGTAACAAGTACCTTGAGAGAAGTTTATCAGGTTCTTTGGCATAAGAAAGAGCAAGAACTGAATGCAGCAAATCCCGGTCAATATTCACAGGCACTAATCTCAGAGGGCTGGCAACAGGATCTGCACCAACTGGTAGAGCTGATCTAGGTGCCTGTGGTCCGCCACCAATTTTATAGACAAGCAAATCACTGAAATTTGCAACATTAGCATATGGGGAGAGATCATTTGTGAGGCCATAAAAGTATTCCTGGTAGAAGTAACATTAGCATATCAATATGTGGAGATGGTTACATAAATGTTAAACTGATGACTAGTCTATGTGACTAAACACCCATAAAAATTCAAGAAATGGTGTATCTTCATTTCATGCTTTATATAAATACCATGTTTATAAACAGGGGAGCCAAATAAAAAAAAAAAAAACACTGAGATTCACCGCAGTTGACATAAAATCAGTCAACAAGCAGACCAAGCTTAATTTAATTGCTTTCTAAAGTATTTCTTCCCAAAACATTATAATCAATCTCCTAACCTCAAATTTAAAATCCTTAGAAAAAGCACGTCACCATAAATAATTATTGCAATTTGGTTCACTGTCTTTTGTTTCATGCTTCCCTGATAATTTTGCTGAACCAGAGATGTTACAATCATAGAAACAGCTTGAAGGCCATGAAATAAATCAACAACTAGAAGGGGAATAGTAAAAACTGAGTCATTTACCCTTATCCTATAATTTCTGTCCTTCTGACGGACTTTTGCATTCCTGGAAACAACACCACCTGACTTTTGAAGTTTCACAACATCAACATTAGGCTTTTTCCTTAATACATCCCTCAGCCTGCTGAAAAGTTTCTCCTGCATAGATTTCAAACAGATGTCTTGACATGGTCATTTGAAGTTCAGAAAAAAATGAAACTCTTGAGTCCAAAAAGTAACAAAAAATGAGGGGAAAAAAGTGCAATGCAAGCTTACAAGTGTACAGGAAAATGAAGGATGGAAATTGAAGCTCATAACTAGACATGAATACAATCTGCACCTAGTACCAGGAAGTGAATTGCTAATCATCTAGTTCAATGTGTTATATGTTATAGTGGAGCAATCAAAATTGTGACATGTTCAGGCATGAAAGAGAGCTGAAAACTTAAGAATAAAAATCTCAACAAATCTATTGTTGTTCGAGGATTTATTCTGATATAGGAATAACCAAGCTGGACAAATTAGCAAGCGTATAAGTTTTTATGAGCCAAAGTGACAAGCATATATTTCAAGTCCAGATAAGCACTAAAACATAAGAAATTAACAATAAATAAGATGCTTGTAAACTGTACTTAAATAATATACTAGAAATGATGATTGAAAAAATTATGCTTGAAATTAAATAAAATATTAAATTGGAAGGCATTTATCATTTACCTGACCCAATACCAAGACAACATTGGCATTGAATGCATCAATTGCATGGAGAATTAACTGCAAAAATAAACAAAATTCCATTGAGCAACATGTTATAATATTTACTAATAGCAAAGGCATTTTTAAAATTACCCAATTCTCATGAATATGCAAGCTTCAGAAGACAATTACCTCATATCCAACACCTTCTATCCATCCCATGGTATTGATCACCATCCCTGCCACTCGAGATTCCACATTAGCAGTAAATTGTTTCTCCAATACTTGTGCAAGCTCATTCACAAGCACTTTGTACAAATCTACATTGTTGCTGCAAAGAATCAAAACATTATTCTTAAGTCTACCAACTGGAGAAAAGTACTTTCCAACACAAGTTTTCTTATTGCATGAGAAAGCAAAGTCGTAGAGAATGCAATATGGATAACCTTGGAGTTGTGTGCCCAAAGAAGTAAACAAGGGGCATTTCAAGTGCAATCCCTACAACCGGATCAATGGGCAATTCAATTGGAGTAGCAGCAATACATCCAGGAATTGTTATGGATCCTTGGCCAATATCCAAGTCCACAAAAGTAGGTTTCCAACCTTGTTTAGCTGCCCAACTAAGCAGCATCCTTGAAAAGGTGCTCTTTCCAGAATCTGTAGGTCCCACAACAATTACCCTAGGACCCTGCACCACCCAGAAGTATTATATGAACAAATAATAAGTTTCAAATAACATGTATAAAACCCATGCCAACATAGTATAAGCCTTGAAAGTTTGAATTATGCAACTGATGACAATGAATAAATACCAGAGAAGTATCAGAGCACTTTGATGCAGATGCTTTGGCACAGTTTCTCCGCCCTTCAAGCACAGCATGTACATTTACATAACTGACCATGGGAGTCTGAAAATCAAAGACCAAAACACCACCATTAATTGATTCAATAAAAATCTGCCTTTCTAGTAGATCATGCCAATGAACAAACCCAAAAATACAGTAAAAAAGCACACACCTCATCTGCTGTATAATCAGTTTCAGTTATGCCATCCATTTCAACTGTGGCTCCATACCATGTAAAAACCTGATCCATTAAAACAATAGTTTTCAGAAATGAAATTCTCAAATACAAAATGTTTCCATCATGACGTTATTTGGGTTGCGATCCAAAAATAATTTTAAGAAAACTAAGAAATAACTCAAAAATCTGAAGTGTATTTCATGTTTTCAAAAAATGAAAAACCATTTGGTTTTTAATCCGAAAATAATTTTCAAAACTAAGATCCAATTCAAACATTTAAACCATATTTTCATTGTTACAAACTATAGAAAACTAAGAAAACAAATCATTTCCGTTTTCTTATTTTACACTACTTTTCAAGTTTATATTCCAAAAAATGCTTCTAAAACTCATTTCAAGCAAACGGTTTTCATATAATTTTGTCTCTCTTCTGATCTAAAACGAAAAACTGTATTTAAATTCTATACCGAACAGCTTACTCATTTTAACATATTCTACCAGATCCATTTTCACTACTTCCAATTTATTGAAATGTCACTATAAATATATCAATATAAAACAATAATTTAATTAAAAAATAAAAGAAAGCAATATCGCCTGCGCTTTAAGTGATGTGTCATCTTCTGTACAACAAAGATATACATATATAAGAAAACTTACTGCAAATTTAAGACGTGGAGGGAAAGTGAGCCAGATTTCGGGAGGTAATTCAGTTCCGTAAATCTCGGCGCTGCCGTTAAGAAGCCGAAGACGCAGCGGCGCATCGTTACCGACTTCGATTCTCAGCTCGCTTTCTTTCTCCAATTTGACTTGCCTCGTAGTTGAAGCCAAATCTAAACCTGAGTCCGACTCCGCGGCGTAAGCCATGTCGACGCTAGGGTAAAGATACACTTGTAACCAAACTGAAATTTAGTAATCATAATTTGAAAAAAAAGTTAAAATTTGTTCGAATTGAATTGGTTTAAGGTTGAAGATTTAAAGCGAAGGTTGAAGAAGAAATAGGGAAGTGAGTAGTCTAGACCCGGCAAACGGGCGGGTATGGTCCGGGTAGCAACGGTTGCGGGTCCACAGGTCAAAAATTATGGCGAGTGGACATTTTCACAATCCGCCCCGCCCGTGCGGGTACGGATCATACGTAAAAATGAGCAGCCTTTTAATTTTTCCATATTTTTCATATTTTCAATATTTTTGTTATTTTTTACTTTTTTTTTTAATTCAAAATTAATTATTAACTTATTTATTAAATAAAGGATGATTATTAAATTTGAGTGATAAGTTTTTTATTTAAATTTTTTTTATTTCAATTTGCGTGTCCGCGTATTACCCGGTCTACCCGTAAAAGTCACGGGCGCCGAGTACGGGTCAGATTCTCACGGGTCGAGATATGTGTTACCCATACTCATCCATTGGTACGGGTACCCGTTGACTCGCAGTACACCCGCCCGTTTGCTAAATCTAAGAGTGACTAATTGAGTAAGAGTCTGAGAGAGTCTGAGCGAGGGCGAGGCAAATGAAAGCCACCACTTTTCATCTTTACAGGAGAGAATTCTTTTTACCCAGTAGGTTTAATTTAATTACAGTTAAGGACACTTGTTTGAAATAATAGCATTTTGGTGCTTTGACTTGACGTCCAGTTAGTTGACTGTAATGGACTTATAATTATACTGAAATGACAAAAAATTCTTTTAAAAATAATGTTAAGGCACAAGTGTGTAATATTTTATTTACTACGTTAATGTATAGACTTTTTTTTACTATCATATTCATACAATAATTAATAGAATACAAGTCGACTTATCAAATACTAAGCTCAAAAATTTTCTTTACTTAATATATGTATTCTGTACATAGTACAATATTATTTGCACAAAAACTCTCAAAACAGTGGACATGTAGCCAAGTCTCCCCGCTTGCCGATGTCCATTCGACCACGTCCTCACCTATGACCTGCAAAACATAGAAAACAACGGGGTGAGCACAAGATGCTCAGAAATAAATCCTCTACTCCACTATCCCCGTGTATCACTCTTCAATTCTTTCCTTACTCTTGTTACTTTCTCTTATTCAATCTCTCTTGTTCTTTCTCTGTTTCTAGTTCTCACTGTTCTTTTCTTTTTTCTATTCTTTCTTCTCTCGCTCTTTCTTTCTCTCTCTATTCTCATCACCCATGAGGGATATCATGATAACATGCACGATGAGATGCATATGCACTAATGCAAAGCAATGCATTTTCTCTCTTTTCTTTTTATCTTTCTTTCTCTTTTCTTGCCGATTGGTCTTGGTTGATGCATGGATTCGAAACCCTTGGCCATGTGAGTGTACTCTCTCTCTCTCTCTCTCTCGTTTTAGCCCTCATCCGCATGATTCTTACAGCTAAACGAATTCTTTTTCTCATTCTCATTCCGCTCTCTCATGGCGGAGTCCGCTTGCTCACGGTGGTTTACATGCGAGTAATTCTACACCCACAGGTTCCCTATCGCACAACCTATTCTTTTTTCTCTTCTTTAGCACTTTTTATTCATTTATTCTCTAGTGCTAATTCTTCTTTCTCCTTTATTCAAGAGAATTAGTTCTTTTCTTTATCTTTATTCTTAGGGTGTTTCTTTCTCATTACTCATATTTCTTTCTTTGATGATCCACATATAAACATATGCAATGGATGGCTTATGCCTAGAATCTTTCTTATATGCACTCATGAAATGCAAATATGCTATATTGCATAAAGTAAGTTCTCTACGTCTACTCATCTTCTCTTAGGCATTTCATCAAACAATATGTGTGCATACCTAAACTCTACTCTAACTATAATTCTACTTCTTTCTTAACCATCCAAAATTGGAGTTCAACTCTTTTAAATTATCACACATCCTGCAAAGAAAACATACTTCAATATTCCTCTCAAATTCTTCTAAATCTATCCATACTTCTATCAAATTTTATCAACACAATACACCCTTCTCATGGTGGAAATCTCTCCATAAATCAACATTGAACTCATTCATAAATCCATCAACTCATTTCAAACATAAAAATTCAAGCATTAATCATATACAAACCTCTATAAATCATTCAATCATGCAAATCACAACTTAGGTGGATTTACTTACTTTATAGAATCCACTTAAGCTCTCTACTCTTGATGGCTTGATGCTTTCTCTTACACCTTAAACACAAACTTAGTAGGGATCCTAATCTTACACTAATAAAAAATTCACATCTAGAGTAAGGATTCTTACCTTTAAGTGCTTAGGATCATCTTGTATCAACTTTTAGTCAAAAGCCCTCAAAAAATCCTTGGAAAATTGAATGAAAGCTTGAGAGAATTGAAGGATGGAAGAGGCAGTGGAAAAGAAAGAATGCAAGGGTTTCTAAAGCTAAACCCTTAATATCTCATATTTTCTCCACTCTTTCCCATTTTACCCTTACTTTTTCTTAGGAATTCCAACTTTGTCCTTTACTTCTTTGCAAATGCACCCCCATTTAAACTATTCTTCATGCAATTTTCTTGCATTTTACTCCACACTTTTCCTGTTAATTAGGGGTAGAATGGTCATTGTGCCTCAAAGGAAGAATTCTCTAGAAACTTATAAGAATTTTCAGCCGAATCTTCGCCACGACGAAGATGAATTCTTTGCCTCGATGAAAAATTCCAGGGCCTACGTCACCACGACGACGAGTCTTCTTCACCGCGGCAAAGTCTACCTTTCACAAATTTCAACAAGACTTCACCAATTTCAGGGCATTCAAGCAATTTCAACACATACACACTTAACTAAGGGCAAAATGAGCAAATTTGAGTTATGTACCTCATGCGGGCATTACAGTTAAGTTCACAACTTAATCTTATAATCTTCTTTCATAATCCCTGATGTGACAGCTCGCAATTAGATAGATGAAACTCATTTACTAATTAACCAATTACGAGTTGTCACATCGAAAGTTGTAAAATAAAGTTATGGACTTAACATTATTCTTATTTAGTAAGGAAACTAGATATGGGTCCCACAAGTTACGCGAGTATGTTTATTTAATATTTTTAGAATAGGTTGTAAAAATAACTTTTATATATGTACAAGTTTTAGAGTAAATATAACTTTTATATATGTATAGAGTTGTGTTAACATAAAATTAATAACTGTACTTTTATAATTATTAATATCAATTAATATTATGAAGATAAATTATTTGAACTTAAAATTTATATTAAGTTCATTTTCAGGTTTGATATTGATTGTTTTTCTCACAGTATAGGATTCTTTCTAAGCTAAGGTTTGAAAACAGACTAATTTCCATCTTTATATGTTTTTCTTGAAAATTGTTAGATTTTTGGAATGTCTATGTAATGTACTTATATAATTATTGTTAGTACTCATCCAATGTGTGAAGATGGAAGAATTAAATCAAAAGTAACGTGTTCCGATGGAGAACAATTTTCAATCAATTAATGAGCAACACCAAAATCAAGATAAAATTGAATATAGAGAATAATCTTTTATTATAAAAGAAATAAGTACATCACTTTTTTTATACTATGAAGTGGGTTTGGACAATATAGACTTTATTTTCTATTTTTCTTATAGTTGTTCAATTCCTCTAGTGCATATGCATACTCTGTTTTGTTTAGGTTATAAATAACATCCATGGCAGATTCCATGATTTGTAACAGCTGGTCAATGACTTTTGTGAATTTGTCTCTTGCAATATATAGATCATCTAGATTGGTCTCAACTTTTTTGAAAATCTCCCTCAATTGACATTCCTTGAAAAATGTCTAAACCAATTGCAGAAACAATATACAATCAATTTTTATAAATATATGGAAATAGTAACATGAATGTGTAAATATAATTATTAGATGAACTCTCGACATATCAAAAAAAAATTTTTTTTAGTGGTTTTTATATTCCACAAATATGTATCATGGTTTTGTTTGCGATTTTGTAATTTAGGATACAAAAGATGTGGAACGTTTATACCTTTTGGTTGCCTTGGTGGAGAATTATTGTTGTTGAGGTCATCGCTGGTATTCGTTGTAGATTCTTCTGGTTGTGATGTTTTGTCAACCATTTTCAAATTAAGTTTTGGAGAAGAAATGAACAATTACAGTGTATAGTATCTGAAGAAAGTTAAATGGGTGATTGACGTTAGAGCAATATTTATAGGAGAATAGGATACGAAAAGGTGGAATATGAACGGACATTGGTAATAAATAAACGTGTCGATCGAAAAAGGGTTAATGATTGTTTGGAAAAGGTAATATGAAACGTTAGTAAACTATCTGTACAATATTAAAGAAAATCGTAATAAATATTTTGTTAAGTGTACCATATTAGTTAGATAGTTAATAATGGTTCGGCAAGATGTTGAGTTATTATGATAAAGAAACAATGTGATTTACTAATAATAAGATCTTATTGATACATTTTCAAAGGATGGACAATAAATATTTTGTGAAGTATCAAAATAATATTTATAGGAGTACATGATATGAAAATGTAGAATATGAATAGACATCTGGTGATAAATAAATGTGTCGATCGAGAAAGTGTTAATAATAATTTGGATAAGGTAATACGAAACGTTAGTAGAGTATTTGTACAATATGAAAGAAAATCGTAATAAATATTTTGTTAAGTACGCAACATATTAGTTAGGTAGTTAATAATGGTTCGACAAGATATTGAGTTATTATGATAAAGAAACAATGTGATTTACTAATAATAAAATCTTATTAATACATTTTCAAATGATGGACAATAAATATTTCGTCAAGTATCAAAGTCAGAGATGGTATGATGATGTGACAATATATTTATTAATATTTTATGTGATACCTACATTAAGGTACGTAATTTTATTTATGCCCTAATACCCTTAGTTGGATGTCTTTGATGTTACCTTAGACAAATGTGAAGAAAATTTCTTAAAACTTCATTAGAGGTAAAATGGTCTTT